CTACCGAGGAATCGGAGAGGAGACTGGAGGATACGCCTGTTGCCCGGGAGTTCCCTGACGTGTTTCCCGAGGATCTGCCAGGGCTACCACCGAGTCGGGAAGTTGACTTCAGCATAGATGTGCTACCGGGTACTGAGCCGATTTCAAAGGCTCCATATCGGATGGCACCTACGGAGATGGCCGAGCTGAAGAAACAACTGAACGAGTTGGTGGAGCAGGGTCTCATTCGCCCTAGCGTCTCACCGTGGGGAGCACCGGTACTCTTCGTGAAGAAGAAGGACGGGAGTATGCGATTGTGCATCGATTACCGAGGGCTCAACCAAGTAACTATCAAGAATCGGTATCCACTACCGAGGATTGATGAGTTGCTTGACCAGCTACAGGGAGCCCAATGGTTTTCGAAGATCGATCTGCGATCCGGCTATCATCAAATTCGAGTCAAGGAGGATGACATACAAAAGACGGCGTTTCGAACGAGATATGGACACTTCGAGTTCGTGGTCATGCCTTTCGGACTCACAAACGCGCCTGCGGTATTCATGCAACTAATGAACCGTGTGTTCATGGAGTATTTGGATGAGTTCGTCATCATTTTCATTGATGACCTCCTTATCTATTCTCCGGATCCGCAGACACATGAAGAACACCTGCGGAAGATACTATGGAGGCTGAGAGAAAACCGGTTGTATGCGAAGTTCAGTAAGTGCAGCTTCTGGCTACAGGAAATCGGATTCCTGGGACATGTGGTGTCGGCCCAAGGCATCCAGGTCGACCCGGCCAAGATCGAGGCCGTCATGGAATGGCAGTCCCCGACTTCTGCGACAGAAGTCAGGAGCTTCCTGGGACTAGCCGGTTATTACCGACGATTCGTCGAGGGATTCGCCAAGATCGCTCGACCCTTGACGAAACTGACGGGGAAGAACGTCCGGTTTGAGTGGACGATCGAATGCGAGGAAAGCTTCGGTGAATTGAAACGAAGATTGACGTCAGCACCGATCCTAGCCTTACCACGGCCGAGTATACCACTGTCGCAGTCCTTGGTACATCTT